TTGTTGTTGTTTGAGACAGGGTCTCACTCCTTCCCAGGCTGGAGTGCAGTGGTGCAATCACGTCTCACTGCAGCCTCAACCTTCCAGGCTCAGGCCATCCTACCGCCTCAGCCTCCCAAGTAGCTGGAACCACAGGGGTGCGTCACCACACCTGGCTAATTTTTTGTAGAGACTAGGTTTTGCCATGCTGCCCAGGATGGCCTCGAACTCCTGGGCTCAAGCAATCCACCCCCTCAGCCTCCCAAAGTGCTGGGATTACAGGTGTGAGCCACCGTGCCCAGCCTGTGTCCACTTCTTTCAATCACTGTAGACATTGTACCGGTCCAGCCCTGTCATCTCTGCTCACAGTAACCACAGTGGCCTCCTCACTTCTACTTTTTTCCCTGCCACAGCAGCCTGATAAATATTTTCTGGACATAAATGAGACCATGATGTTCTTGTGTTTGAAAACTTCCATTTTGTTTGTTTGTTTTGAGGCTTGAGTGTGGTGGCGCAATCTTGGGTCACTTGCAACCTTTGCCTCCTGGGCTCAAGCCATCCTCCCACCTCAGCCTCCCAAGTAGATGGGACTACAGGTGCATGCCACCACAACCCAGCTAATTTTTATATTTTTTGTAGAGATGGGGTTTCCCCGTGTTGGCCAGGTTGGTCTTCAACTCCTGGGCTCAAGTGGTCCTCCCGCCTTGGCCTCCCAAAGTGGTGGGATTACAGGCATGAGCCACCACTTGTGGCCCAATGTCTTTGAATGTTCCAACTCCTTACTGTGGCTTACAAGGCGCCACAGAATCTGGTCCTTCCTCCCTTTCCAAATGTCTGTTAACCGCCTCAATCACCACCCTGCAGCCACCCTGCTGTATGCTCTCAACACACACACAAACTCCTTCCACCTTAAGGCTGTCACACCTGACACTTCCTCTGCATGAAATGCTTGTCCTTCTGCTCTCATGGTGATTTCCCAGTCTTTAGATGACAACTATCTTTTTTTTTTTTTTTTTTTATACTTTAAGTTCTATGATACATGTGCATAACCTGCAGGTTTGTTACATATGTATACTTGTGCCATGTTGGTGTGCTGCACCCATCAACTCGTCCTTTACATCAGGTATAACTCCCAAGTAGACCCTTCTTGGAGAAGCTTTCCCTGCTCTGTGGCTGCCCTCTGTACCTTTCCTTCATGGCGTTTATCATAGACAACACTCAATTCTTGTCCGTTATCTTTCTCTCAGTAAACTAAAAGCTTCATAAGGGTAAGGTCCGTTTTTATTTATTTACCATTGCCAAGTTTATTTATTCACCAGTGCCAAATTCAGTGCCTTAATGTGTGTTGAATAAATGAATGAATTAAGGTAAGAATTGATACTGCTGCTCCCAGCCGAATATATTAAGCTATGCAGATGCTTCAGTGTTATACAGACATGTGCTCATGCTCCATTGTTCCTTGTTCTGTGAGGTCGTGTACATTTCAGGGCATAGAGTTTCAACTGTTATGAATGATAATGGGTAGATTTACCCATTTTTCATTAAGCAGTAAAAAAAACTTAATCTAATCATGTTGTCCTCCATAATTATTTGGGAGCCTCTTCTGCAATTTTGATCCAGCAATTTTTTTTTTACATATCCTCTGATGACATCAGTAGGATGGTTCTTTAAAAATGCAACCTGTTTCAAATTTAAGAGCTACCACTGAACTTTAAAAAGTCATTTAACATTTTTCTTTTCATTTCTTTTCTTTTTGAGAGAGTCTCGCTCTGTTGCCCAGGCCAGAATGCAATGGCGTGATCTCAGCTCACTGCAACCTCTGCCTCCTGGGTTCAAACAATTCTCATATTTCAGCCACCTGACTAGCTGGGATTACAGGTGTGTGCCGCCATGCCCAGCTAATTTTTGTATGTTAGTAGAGATGGGTTTTTGCCCTGTTTGCCAGGCTGATCTCAAAACTCTTGGCTTCAAGCAGTCTGCTAGCCTTGGCCTCCCAAAGTGCTGGGATTACCAGTGTGAGCCACTGCATCTGGCCTTTAAAATTTTTCCTTCATATTTTTAAAATGTGAAGCATACTATTACTCAATTATTATTTTTTGTGTCAGATATTTAATGAGTAAGAAAGCCTGGTATGTGATGAAATTATAACAGAATAAAGGCATTTAGCTCTTTAATATTCTGCCTCCTTCAAAGTTGGAGTAAGTTTATGCAGAAACATTTCTTACTAAACCATTTCATATTTCTTGTCAAATTATTAAAGATTTTGTATAAATGATGATACTATATTACAAGTGAACAAAATAGCTCTGAAAAAGGACAGAAAGGTATTCAAAAGACATGCTGGCTGTTTGTTAGAGTATCTAAAGTCATTTACTATAAACTTTGTGAAAGTGGTAAGGCTGTTTTGCTTTAGATATTAGTTCTTCCACAGAACATAGGAAGTGATTATGAAACAACCATTCTTGTACTTTGGTGATCATTGTTCCAAAAGGAGTCACAAGATGGTTTTCTCTTGGTCTGGGGGTTTAAAAAACTATTTTCTCCTCACTTGCTCAGTTCTTTGTGTTTTTGTCTCTGTCTCCCTCTCAACTTATTTGGCACTTGTTACATAAAACGCCTATCTAGAGTTTGGGTGTATGACTGTTAACACAGAATGTTAAACATAGCAGAGGAATGACCAGAGGAAGTGATTCACTGGAAGGAATCAGTTTCACTGCTATTCTTAAACTATTTAAACCTTCAAAGTTCCTATGTCTTTAATATATAATCACTTCTATATTGTCTGGCAAGTTATAAAGGTCTTTCATACACAGTATCTCTTTTAGTTATTTTTTTCTTTTGAATTTTCGTTCTTAACTGAGTCCTTGCACATACTCAGTTAGTTGTTGAATTATCTCTAGTAGGTTAAGCAACTGTTCCTAAGATCACCTGGCTAATAAGTGATTGATTTTGAATTCAAACCCAGATCTGTGTGACTTTAAAGCTGAGACTTACGCTCAAGTCTCAGACTCTAATCCTGTGCACTAGGTTCTTTGGTTTATTTTACTAACAAATCAGATGTTACTTGAGTTTTGCATTACTTTATCCCATATTTTAAGCTTGATGACACTTTAGTTGCTTTTCAGTTATCTGCAATAAGATCTATTCTGTAAGAACTAGTATTCAAAGAGCTATTTTTAAATACAACGCATAATTAGAAAATATGATGTTCAATCAATGTGTAACTCATTAATTCATCTTAACTAATCTTAACAATGTTTACACATAGTAAGAAAATTACATTATTTTGAAACCTGACACATTAGATGCTAAATCATAATATTTGTTTTTCCCTCTACCAGATTATGGAGAGAATTATGGATCTACCCACTTTACTGAGACATGCATTCAGGGAAATGTTTTCAGTCGGGGGCCTTTTCTGGATGTTTCGCATCAGAATAATACTTTGTTTAATGGGAGCTTTTTTCTATCTTATATCTCCTCTAGATTTTGTACCTGAAGCCTTGTTTGGAATCCTAGGCTTTCTAGATGATTTCTTTGTCATCTTTTTATTGCTTATCTACATCTCTATTATGTATCGAGAAGTGATAACCCAAAGGCTAACCAGATGAAAAAAAAAAAAAAACTGAGTTTACTAGGATATCTGAGCTAACGTAGAACATCAAACAGAAGGACCCATGGCAGTATAAAGCAATGAAGTAATGGAGTATTATCTCACAAATATAAAACCACTATAAGACAAACATTTGATTATCATTTGACAAATGCCTAGGAATATATAACTGGAATTTTCACATGTTGCAAGTTCTAATACTAAGTTTAGAATTATAATGATCTACAATTGTATCTTGATTCTATGTTGTCTGGAAAAAATAAGGAATTATATAAAAAGGGATGCTTTTATATATTTTTCTTTTCCCCAGAATTACTTAGATTAATTGGATGTATAGTAAAATATTGTTAAATGTCAGTTTATCCACCTTATCCTTCTCAGTGGGTACCTATATGATAATATATAGCTGTGAAACTCATCTAAATATTTTTGTTACAATAAAGTATTATATACTATTGGGGAAAATTCAGTATTTCTTTTAGTGCTAGCTAAGTTTTGTGCATTTGGAGCAGTTCTGCTTTTTCATTCTGGTATAATTATTTGTTATCAGCTGAAACTGAAACTTCATACTTCAATATCATATTTTAGTTTACAGAACATATTTTAATCAATAGAAGAATTAAGATGAAAAACATGGCTGGGCGGGGTGTTTCACACCTGTAATCCCAGCAGTTTGGGAGGCCGAGGCAGGTGGATCATGAGGTCAGGAGATTGAGACCATCCTGGCTAACACAGTGAAACCCCGTCTCTACTAAAAACACAAAAAATTAGCAGGGCGTGGTGGCCAGCGCCTGTAGTCCCAGCTACTCAGGAGGCTGAGGCAGGAGAGTGGCGTGAACCCGGGAGGCGGAGCTTGCAGTGAGCCGAGATTGCAGCACTGCACTCCAGCTTGGGCGACAGGGTTAGACTCCATCTTAAAAAAAAAAAAAAAAAAAGATGAAAAACATTTATCTCCAGTCAGCACACTTGATGTTCACAGTTAGACATTTAAACGAGCTCATCCTTTCATAGTAGATATAAAAGTAATTTGTAAAGGGAAGATTGTTTTAGGAACCTGGGTGATGCTGCAAACAGAGTAGCCTGATGCATTTCTGAGGAAGGTGGATGGGATCTTCGTGTCTTTGAGCATCAAGCCCATAGGAAGGTACTGGGAACAGTATCTACATTTGACAAAAGAAATTACTGGTTAGCTATAGCAACAGATTGGACAAACTTGGTTAGTTTTCTGTTGTCAGAAATTTTTATAGTATTGTCTCAGGAAGGCAGCACACAGCTCAGATTCATGTCTTGAGCCAAACAAGTGAATATATCTAAGAAGACTCAATACCACATGGTATTGGGAGATGTTACTCACTTTGGCTGGTGTTGGTCATTACTGAATGTGTAACAGCAGGATGTGACGGGATGCCCAGGAGTCAGTGTTAGCATTGTCATCTGAGATCACTGCTATTAATATCATCCATTAATTTATTAGTGAGCTTCAGTATATGCAGACTGGGAGATAAGAAGAAAATCTGTCACATTCTGTCTAGTTAATCAGATCAGCTTACCAATTAATGAGATTCTGAATTAAATATCAGTATGTGTTTTTCTAATTTGGACCTAGGACAGAGCTGTTGCTTGTCATAGAGAAAGACAATAATGCTTAAACATAGCACATTATAATTAAAGCAGTTACTCACATACTTTTCATTTTATCCTTTGGACAATTTTGTGAGGAACGCTGGGCACCAACTTCCCTCTCATAGATAAAATCCCTATGCTATTGATGAAAGTGTTTTTGAATGAAGTCATACAACAAATAACTGATCAAAGTGGCATTAAACCAAAATCTTTTAGTAGGACTCCTGCATAGAATGTTTAGATAGACGTGGAAGTTGTTAAGAGGAACGGCAAGAAAGAAACTGGTTCTTTGGAAGTCTTTCATGCTACATTATACCTCCATCAGAGTAAAACAGCTTAGGCACTCCTAAGAGGAAAGGTCTGTGGAGATGACACCTGAAGATTGCATGAATCCGAATTCTACACTTCCAAATCAAATAGGTAAAAGGGTAGTATACATCACAGAAAATGCTTGCTGTCACCAACTTGAAAAGCAAATGAGTAGGAGTTTGTCACACTGCCACGTACCAGACTGAAAATGCATTTCCTACCAGTTATACATTTGGTGTGGGGGAATGGTGATGTCATTTTTTGACAGCATTTTATTTGTGTGCATGCGTTCTGCTCCAAGTGTCACAATTCTGGTTACAATAATTATAATATTTGGAGTTACTACTAAGACTTTCCTGAAAGAGGTGTACTGTACCAAATTTTGTAACGTAAAAAAAATACTAAATGATCTTAAAGCTTACTAAATTGTGAAAAGGATACGTGCTAACATCTCAGAACTTTAGGCCTGCTTATTGTCATCTTTACCGATCTCTGATCATAAATGCAGAAGGGATCTGAGAGTTTTTAAAGCAAGTAGAGTCAATCAGTGTTTTGAACATTATAGTAATACTTCTGTGATTCAGAGTTAGATCATATAAATCAAAGTAACAATTTGGATTTTTTTTAAACAACAGTATCATAACTGTCATAAAACAGATGGTCCAACCCCAGGAGCAGACAATAACTTGGGCAGCTCTGTGGGGAATAAGATGGGGAAAACAACTTTTCTAACTGCCCACTAGAACAGTGGTTTCAACTACTACAATTCTCAGTGTTTGAGAGGTACAAGGGAAGAAAGGACTGTGTGGATCCCTTGTGGCTATGCAGATACCTACCTCACAGAGTTGTTGTAGAAGACTGGTGGTTTGGTTCAAACCTTGTGATTAAAGAGTTTGTCAAGCATTTTATTCTTTTGAATAAAAGCAACATATATAAAAAATTTTAAAGATGTTATTTTTCTGTTTCTTTAACATTTGTTTGCTTTCAGAACTCCTGAAAGAGCATTCAGTATAATGGGTGCAATGGCTTTCGTTATCACTAATGGACATCCAATATCTCATCACATTTCTAATTAATTTTGTTAGGTTTTTTATTTTGTTTGTTTGTTTGTTTGTTTGGTCAGAGACAGGACCTCACTGTGTTGCCCAGGCTGGAGTGCAGTGGCACAATCATAGCTCACTGCAGCCTCGAATTCCTGGGCTCAAGTGATCTTCCTGTCTCAGCATCCCAAGTAGCTGGGACTATAAGTGTGTGCCACCCTACCTGGCTAATTGAAAAAAAAAAAAAAAAGTTTGTAGATACATGGTCTGACTCTGTTTCCCAGGCTGATCTCAAACTCCTGGGCTCAGCCCTCCAAAGTGCTGGGATTACAGGTGTGAACCACCATGCCCAACGCTGAAAATTATTTTTCTATTAAGCAAATAAATTTGCAGACCACAGTGAAAATTTAGTCACAGGGATATTTTACAAAGAAAAATTCAACATTCAGTTCAATGCAACAAATTTTGTTTTAAATTGTATGTAATTTGGCTGGGCGCAGTGGCTCACACCTGTAATCCCAGCACTTTGGGAGGCCAAGGTGGGAGGATCACAAGGTTGGGAGTTTGAGACCAGCCTGGCCAACACAGTGAAACCCCATCTCTACTAAAATACAAAAATTAGCCAGGTGTGGTGGCATGCGCCTGTAGTCCCAACTACTTGGGAGGCTGAGATGGGAGAATCACTTGAACCTGGAAGGCAGAGGTTGCAGTGAGCTGAGATCACGCCATTGGACTCCAGCCTGGGTGACAGAGTGAGACTCCGTCTCAAAAATAAATTAAAAAAAAAAATGAATAAATAAATTATATGTAATTCACCATACCAATGATAAGTTTACCATTTTGAAATAAGGAAATATAAGGATTATATTCAACAGGTAATAAAAGTATATATTTCATTTCCAAGTTATGGATCACTGGAAGACAGGAAACAAGAAAAGGGAACAAGGAAGAGAACTTGGCTGAGGGACGCTACACTGACCAGTTTCATTCTAGATGGATTAATGATCACAGACACCAATAGGGCACCCTGCTGGCAGGCGATCCTTGGGTGCTGTTTGAGTGGCTTGTGCCCCCAGCTTCTCTGAACTATAAGTCTTATACGTTCATTCTCTTCTGACATTCCTGCACCTCCCAGGTGACAACCCAGTTTTCCTAAATCACTTCTCCCCCACCAAGGCCTTTACTTCGCTGACGGATAGTTCCCTTTTTATTAAAGGTCGTTTGCATCTCAGTAAAAGGAACCACCATCCATCCATTAGCTCAAGCCAGGCCAGCATGGTGGCTCACACCTATCATCTCAGCACTTTGGGAGGCCAAGGCAGGAGGATCACTTGAGTCCAGGAGTTTGAGACCAGCCTGGGCAACATAGTGAGACCCCGTCTCTACAAATAAAATTAGCCAGATGTGGTGGTGCATGCCTGTGGTCCTAGCTACTCCAGAGGCTGAAATGGGAGGATCACTTGGGCCCAGAAGTGAAGGCTGCATGAGCCTTGTGGCTTGCACCACTGCAGTCCAGCCTGGGCGACAGGAGATCCCATCTCAGAACAAAACGCTAAAGCCAGAAATGCAAGCTTAAGTCTGTGTTAATATCTGAATCACTCTCTTATTTTCTCTCTTTTTTTTTTTTTTTTTGAGACGGAGTCTCACTGTCACCCAGGCTGGAATGCAATGGCACAATCTCGGCTCACTGCAACCTCCGCCTCTTGGGCTCAAGCAATTCTCCTGCCTCAGTCTCCTGAGTAGCAGGGACTACAGGTACCCACCACCACACCCAACTAATTTTTGTATTTTTAGTAGAGACGGGGTTTCACCATGTTGGCCAGGCTAGTCTTGAACTCCTGACCTCCAGTAATCCGCCAGTCCCGGCCTCCCAAATTGCTGAGATTACAGGCTGAGCCACGGCACCCGGCCTCCTCTCTTACTCTTATAACCATCTATCAACAAGCCCTGGCATTTCTACCATTGACATGTCGATTCCCATCACTCTATACCCTCTGCCACCACCACGGTCCAAGGAGAGTTCTGTGTGTCCAGGAGCCCAGTGGGGGCTGTGGTGGTAGAGCCCAGGGAGCTGGGAGGGGAACATGAAGTGAGGCTGAAGAAGCAGGAAGACTGTTGATTTGGATTTAAGTGCAGGGGGAAGACATGATCTAACAAACATTTTTAAAAGGTCATCTGACTACCGTGTGTAGGGTTCATCAGAGGAGAGCAGCCGTGCAAGTGAGCAGACCCATTAAGAGGCTGTTGTGTGCCTAGACACACAGAACTCTCCTGCCTGTACAGTCAGACGCAGGTCAGGGCCTCAGCATATACCCCATGACTGAATGCTCCCTTCAGCCTCACCACTTTTATTCTTCACATTACTAGACTGTGTTTCCATCCTTTGGTTCTCAGGTTAAATGTTCCCTCCTCACCCAGACTATCCAGTCACTCCAACAAAGGCGGCAGTGACCCTCCCCTCCCCTTACCCTGGGGCACTCTGAGGCATTCAGACATCTCAGCACAGCATCATTGTATTGACATTTTAATTGTCTGTCTGCCTCTCACTAGAATACAAGTTCTATGAAAATATTATGACAATGTTAGTTTTGCCCACCTGGATATTCGCAGATGTACCATCACGCCTGCCACCACAGTAGTGCTCAACACCTAAAGATTAATAAATAAAGCAAGGGGAAGACAGGAAAGGGCAGAAGACAAGGAAAGATCACTTCTTACTCTGTCGTGGCTGCCGCCCAGGTCTAAGCCACCCTCATTTCTCACCTAAAGGATCACAGCGACCTTCCGGGCAGTCTCCCAGGCCCCAAGTGCCTGGCTACCTACATGCAACGCAGCCCAATGATCATCTCAGGTGTGACTGCTGGAAAGCCTGCTCTCCCTTTCTCACAGAGTGAAGGTAAAGTCCTCACGCCAGCCTGCAAGGCCCCACATGACTTTGGTCGCTCATTTCTCTCTAACTTCATGTCACATTTGTCCCCACAGCTCACTCTGCTCCAGCCACCCAGTCCTCCTTGCTGTCCTTTGAGCAGGCCAAGGACGCCCAGCCTCAGGAGCTCTGCCCTGGGCAGTCCCTCTGACTGCTGGGCTCCCCCGCCCGGGGCATCCTTACAGTCAACTCTCACCAACTCCAGATCTTTGTACAATAGCCATTTCCTCTGTTAGGCCTGTCCTGTCCACCATAAGGCAACCTGCAACTCCCTCAGCCCACAGAGCACCTCTCACCGGCTAACATACTCTGTGGTCACATGTTTGCTATCTGCCTCCCTAATCCCACAAGAATATTAGCTCTCTGAGGGTAGAAATCGCCTTCACTAATGTATCCCAAGCCCCCAGAACTATGCATGCAGCATAGTCAGTAACTATTTGTTGAATCAATTAATGAGAAAACAATTTCAGGGAACTATAAGTTGAAATACACTTTTTCAGTTCACAATGTTATCCATTCTGACATTTATCAGACACATGCACAGAGGACCTCAGAGATATGCCCAGTGGCCTCAATACCCATGGTAATGCCAATAAACTACTATTCTGGTATTTTGATACCGGCAGACCTCATTTTATTGTACTTTGCTTTATTGATTTTTGCAGATATTGTACTTTTCACAAATTGAATGTTTGTGGCATCACTGCTTCCAGCAAGTACGTTGGCACCATTTTTCCAGCAGCACGTACTCAAGTCATGTCTCTTTGTCACATTTTGGTAATTCTTGCAATATTGCAAACTTTCTCATTATTATTATAGCTGTTATAGTGATCCGTGATCAGTGATCTTTGATGTTACTACTGATGTTTGTTTTGGAGTGATACAAACTGCACCCACTTATGGTGAGCTTAATTGATACAAGGTGTATGTGCTCTCACTGACTGGCTATCCCCTAGACTCACTCTCCTTGGGCCTCCCTATTCCCTGAGACACAACAACATTGAAATTAGGCCAATTAATAACCTTACCAATGCCCACTAAGTCCTTGCTAAGATTCTTACTTTCAATCATAAGGTAGAAATGATCAAGCGTGGTGAGGAAGGCATGTTGAAAGCCATGACATGCTGAAAGCCAGGCCTCTTGTGCCAAACAGCCAAGTTGTGAATGTAAAGGAAATTTTTTTTTTTTTTTTTTAAGACAGAGTCTCGCTCTGTCACCCAGGCTGGAGTGCAGTGGCACTATCTTGGCTCACTGCAACCTCCACCTCCCGGGTTCATGCCATTCTCCTGCCTCAGCCTCCTGAGTAGCTGGGACTACAGGAGCTCGCCATCATGCCCGGCTAATTTTTGGGTTGGTTTTTTTTTTTTTTTTGTATTTTTAGTAGAGACGGGGTTTCACTGTGTTAGCCAGGATGGTCTCCGTCTCCTGATCTTGTGATCTGCCCACCTCAGCTTCCCAAAGTGCTGGGGTTACAGGTGTGAGCCACCGCACCTGGCGTAAAGGAAAAATTCTTGAGGGAAATTAGAAGTGCTAGTCCAGTGAACACACGAATGATAAAAAAGCTAAGCAGCCTTAATGCTGATATGGAGAAAGTTTAAATGGGCCGGGTGCCATGGTTCACACCTGTAATCCCAATACTTTGGGAAGCCAAAGTGGAAGGATCACTTGAGGTCAGGAGTTCGAGACCAGCCTGGCCAACATGGTGAAACCCAGTCTCTATTGAAAATATAAAAATTAGCTGGGTGTGGTGGTGCGCACCTGTAATCCCAGCTACATGGGTGGCTAAGGCAGGAGAATCGCTTTAACCTGGGAGGTGGGGGTTGCAGTGAGCAGAGATGACGCCACTGCACTCCAGTCTGGGCTACAGAGCGAGACTTGGTCTCAAAAAGGAAAAAGTTTAAATGGTCTTCCCGTAAACCAAATCCCTAACCACCTCCCCCCCCAAACTCTGTTCAATTTTGCGAAGGCTGAGAGAGGTGAGGAAACTGCAGAACAAAATTGGAAGCTAGCAGAGGTCGGTTCAGGAGGTTTAAGGCAAGAAGCCATCTCCATAACATAAAAGTGCAAAGTGAAGCAGCAAGTGCTGATGGAGAAGCTGCAGCGAGTTTTCCAGAAGATCCAGCTCAGATAATTAATGAAGGTGGCTACACTAACAGCAGATTTTCAATGTAGATAGAATGGCTTCTATTGGAAGAAGATGCCATCAAGGACTTTTAGTAGCCAGGAAGGAGAATTCAATGCTTGGCTTCAAAGCATCACAGGACTGGCTGACTCCCTTGTCAATCAGATGCAACTGGCTGATGCAACTGATGACTTTAAATTGAAGCCAATGCTCATTTACCATTTCGAAAATCCTATTGGTCTTAAGAACGATGGTAAATCTACTCTGCCTGTGCTCAACAAATGGAATAATAAAGCCTGGATGACAGCACATCTGTTTTCAGCATGGTTCACTGAATATTTTAAGTCCACTGTTACACCTACTGCTCAGAAAAACAGATTCCTTTCAAAATAATACTGCTCATTGACAATGCACCTGGTCACCCAAGAGCTCTAATGGAGATGTACAAGGAGATGAATGTTGTTTTCATGCCTGTAACACAACATCCATTCTGCAGCCCCATAAATCAAGGAGTATTTTGACTTTCAAGTTTTATTACCTAAGAAATACATTTTGTAAGGCTATAGCTGCCATGGATAGTGATTCCTCTGATGGATCTGGGCAAAGTCAGTTGAAAACCTTCTGGAAAGGATTCATTATTCTAGATGCCCTGAAGAACATCAATAATTCATGGGAGGAAAAATATCAACATTAACAGGAGTTTGGAAGAAATTGATTCCAGCCCTCATGAATGGCTTTGAGTTGTTTAAGACTTCAGTGGAAGAAGTCACTGCAGATGTGATAGAAGCAGCAAGAGAACTAGAATTAAAACTGGATCCTGAAGATGTGACTGAGTTGCTGCAATTTCATGATAAAACTTGAACAGATGAGGAGTTGCTTCTTATAAATGAGGAAATAAAGTAGTTTCTGAAGATGGAATCTACTTCTGGTAAAGATGCTGTGAACATTGTTGAAATGACAAGGGATTTAGAATATTTTGAATATTACATAAACCTAGTTGATAAAGCAGTGGCAGGGTTTGAGAGGATTAACTCCAATTCTTAAAGAAGTTCTACTGTGACTAAAATGCTATTAAACAGCATTACTTGCTACAGAGAAATACTTAAGGAAAGGAAGAGTCAATCGATGCAGCAAACTGCATTGCTGTCTCATTTTAAGAACTTCCCACAGCCACCTCAACCTTCAGCAACCACCACCATGATCAGTCAGCAGCCATCAACATCAAAGCAAGACTCTCCATCAGGAAAAAGATCACCATTTGCTGAAGGCTCAGGGGATCATTAGCTTTTTTTTTTTTTTTTTTTTTTTAGCAATACATATCTATGTGTGTATGTGTATAAAATTTAGAGATGGGATCTCACTGTCATGATCATAGCTCACTGCAGCCTCAGACTCCTGGACTCAAGGGATCCTCCTTGCCTCAGCCTCCCAAGTAGCTGGAACTACAGGCATGCACCACCATACCCGACTAATTAAAAACAATTTTTTTAGAAACAGGGTCTCACTATGCTGTCCAGGCTGCCTTGAGTCCCTGCCTCAGCTTCCTAAGCCCTGACACCCAGCTCGTGGTAACTGTTGGTTTGCTGTTGCTCAGGCTGGAGTACAAAGGCATGACCACAGCTCACTGCAGCCTCAACCTTCTGGGTTCAAGGGATCCACTCAACTCAGTCTCCCAAGTATCTGGGACTACAGATGTGTGCCAACACGCCTGGCTAATTTTTGTATTTTTTGTAGAGACAGGGTCTCACTGTGTTGCAGAGACAGGGTCTCACTGTGTTGCCCAGGCTGGTCTTGAACACTTGGGCTCACGTGATCCACCTGCCTCAGCCTCCCAAAGTACTGGGATTACAGGCGTGAATCACTGCGCCAGGCCATTAAGCCACATCTTAAGGGTGGACAGGTCAGGGATGGGCATTTCAAGTCAAGAAAACAGCCTATTTAAAGAAACCACAAAAGAGCCTGCCCTCTAAGACATGAAGCTGGAACAGAGGTAAAGACAAGTGGAGGGAGATGATGGTGGAAGAGGAGAAGTACCTGGTCCTAAAGAGCTTTATAACTCACCATAAGAAGTTTGGATTTTATTCAGTACAGCAGGTAGCCTTGCAAAGATACGAGCAGGGGCATGGCAGGCATGCACAACCCTTCTATGGAAGATAGAATGGAGAGAGGTAAAACTGGAGACTAGGATAGTTAAGAGGTTGCTGCAAGGTTAAGACCATGAGAGCTTGGTCAAGAACAGTGAGGAGGCAAGGCGCCGTGGCTCATGCCTGTAGTCCCAGGACTTTGGGAGGCCCTGGCTGACCGATAGCTTAAACCCAGGAGTTTGAGACCAGCCTGGGCAACACAGTGAGACCTCATCTCTATTAAACATAATAATAAAAATAATTAAAGAACAGTGAGGGTTGGGCGCGGTGGCTCACGCCTCTAATCCCAACACTTTGGGAGGCCGAGGCAGGCGTATCACCTGAGGTCAGGAGTTCGAGACCAGCCTGGCCAACATGGTGAAACCCCGTCTCTACAAAAATACAAAAATTAGCCGGGCATGGTGGCAGGTGCCTGTAATCCCAGCTACTCAGGAGGCTGAGGCGGGAGAATTGCTTGAACCCGGGAGGCAGAGGTTACAGTGAACTGAGATCGTGCCATTGCACTCCAGCCTGGGCGACAGAGCGACACTCCCTCTCAAAAAGAAAAAAAAAAAGAAAAAAAGAACAGTGAGGAGACATGCAGAGGGATGGATTTAAGAGGCATTTATTTATTTAGTCTATAAAATTAACCTGGTCATCAAAGGATTTTATGGGTGACAAAAACTAATCCAAGATGACTCCAAGGTTTCTGGTTTAGGCAACTGTTGAACAGATAATTCACAGATGATAATCCCAAAGGCAGAACGGATATACAAAGGAAATAAAACATGAGAGAATTATGGTATTTGGTTCAGTTTAAGGAGCAGGGTGTTTAGGAGTTACAGGAGGCCAGAAGATGGAACCCTGGGGAAACACCAACATTTAAAGGGGCAGGAAAGGTAGAGAATAAGGGCCAAGGGATTACTCAACATTTTGCTCTCCAGGTTTGCCTGGCTCAGATCTATATAAAGAAAAGGAGCAGGCAATGAAGTAAAACTGTTACAGGAAAGGGGTCCCAATCCAGACCCCAAGGCAAGGTTCTTGGGTCTCATGCAAGACAGAATTCAGGGCGAGTCCACAGTGCACAGCAAAAGCAAGTTTATTAAGAATGTAAAGTGGTGGAAGTACAGCTACTCCACAGACAGAGTAGGGTGTTCCCGAAAGAAAGAGAAGGAACGCATCCACCCTAAGTACAACACTTAGTTTATATATAGAATAAAAAAAGATCATGGGGAGATGTGCTGTGCTACAAGGGTTTGTGATAAAGGATTAATTACTATATTATGTAAGAATCGATTATTTATTTATGAGACAGAGTCTTACTCTGTCGCCCAGGCTGGAGTGCAGTGGTGCAAGCACGGCTCACTGCAACCTCCGCCTTCCCAGATTCAAGCGATTCTCCTGCCTCAGCCTCCAGAGTAGCTGAGATTCGAGGCATGTGCCAACCACACCCGGTTAATTTTTGTATTTTTAGTAGAGACGGTTTCACCACGTTAGCCAGGCTAGTCTTGAACTCCTGACCTCAAGTGATCCGCCCGCCTCAGCCTTCCAAAGTGCTCGGATTACAGGCGTGAGGCACTGTGCCCAGTCCATTATTATCTTTAAAGCAAAATTAGGAATGCTTCTGTTCTCAAAATATCGAGATATCTGGACACTTCGAAGTCTGGGTCTGTTTAGTAAACATTATCAATCTGTTGCCTTAATGGTATACATCTAGAGGCTAGGAACACCTAACTTTCCAGGAATGCAGCCCAGCAAGTCCCAGCCTCATTTTCCTAGCCCTCACTCAACACAGAGTTGCTCTATTTCGAACCCCTCTGACATATTCTCTCTCAGATGTGAAAATTGCTGCAGCAGCTCCCTATTTGCAACACCGCACATGGAAGTCACAGCAATGGACAGCCCTTCAGAAAAACTTCTGGGGAGGGAGGGCCTGGTGGCTCAACTCCCGTAATCCCAACCCACTGGGAGGTCGAGATAGGTGGATCCCTTCAGCTCGAGTTCTAGACTGGCCTGGGCAACGTGGGGAGATCCTGCCTCTATTGTTTTTTTAAAAATTACATATATATACACACACACACACGTATATATGCATACATATATACATATATATAATGCTTCTGCGTTGGCAATTCAGATGATTTGGCGAGTGTGTCTTTTTTCACTGCTAAAAACCTGTCACGTTGGCTCTCAGAGACTTGTGATGCCTGAAGACACAGGTAATGGGAAAAAGATCAGCATTCTGGGAAAAGGTTCCACAATTTTATTAATCATACACCATCTGTGTCCGCCCTTTTAGAGAAATGGGCGCAATCAGACAACGACCTCGGCTTTACACCTGTTCTCCATGAGGCCCTAGTTGTTTCCTACTGTAAGCCGCCCCAAAAAAGCTCCGCATCAATTAACCCACGGGAACAGCCCGGGCTGGAGGATGCCCCTGGAATCCAGCCTCCCGCCGCGCCTCCTCCCCCGCAAGCTGTTCCTTCCTGCCTACCGGAAGTTCAGGGCTCCGCCCACTTCCGCAACTCTGAAGCTACCGCCGGAAACACCTGGCCTCAGCCAATAGTTAGCTTCCCAGGAATCGTTACCTCTGACCTCGGGGCTAATCAGAGACAGTGGGACGCACCCCTCGCGAGAGGTGAGGTTGAAGCTGCCTCCGCCATCTTGGAGATGGGAGACGGGCGATGGCTGTGGTCCTTCTGCTAATGCAAACAACAAAACGGGCACACTAGTCACCCCCGAGGGAGGCCACCATCACTGTAACTGTTGGCCAAAGCTACAAAAGAGCGAGGGTGTCCAACCGAGCGCGGCGACACTGAAAGCAGCTTCCCCTGCCTTCTGCGGCGGCAGAAGTGAAGTGCCTGAAGACCGGAAGGATGGTGCAGTCCTGCTCCGCCTACGGCTGCAAGAACCGCTACGACAAGGACAAGCCCGTTTCTTTCCACAAGTGAGGACCCTGCGCGCCTCGCGGGGCCGGTCTTAGCCAGGGTGGGGGCGCGCGACCGGCGGGGCCGGGGGCGGAGCCAGGCGCGTGTCCGCGCGAGGGGCGGGTGGGGTCTGGGGCCGGCCGCGCGAGGCGTTTCCCGCCGCGTCCTGCTGGGAACCGTCGCCCGATCGCGCGTTCTCGGCGCGCGTCTCCGTGGCGGTTGTTTCTTGCGCTCTCGGAACAGGTCCTCGTTGCAGGCTTCGCTCCAGGCCTCAGTTGACGAGTTTGGAGCCTGCGGGCGATGCCTATGGTGGCGCGGGTTTTGCCGCCACCAGGGTCACGAGCAGCCAGGTGTTGTAATAACGTCTTAGGGGTAAATTTGAAATATAAACAAAGGCCTTCAAACGAAGAAATCACTATTTTTTCCCTTGCCGTGGATGGGAGGCCAGCATCGTAGCAATTAAGGGTTTTTTGGCTGGGAAATCCCGGAGAATTTTTGCCCCAAATCTCTAGGAACTAAGCTTTAAGGACCCTGAGTTTTGAAGAAAGCTTCAGGTACTGCCAAGATAAATCGTTATCTTTTCAGCACACAATAATGATAATATGGACAGTTACAACATGGATCATAATAAAATGGCTCACACTGATCTTTATTTATTACGGCATTACCTGTGCATAGAGGAAGCTCTTTCGAAAGAAACTGCCCCACAGCTTTCAGAGCTGTCTTATCCAATAGGTAGCACAGTTAAGAGTGCTAGGATCAAAAATATTCTCTTGAAAATAGGAAAAAAAGTGCAAAGTTGCAATTACTTATAATAATCAAACGCTTGTAAAATGTGACATAACATATTCAGCTGAATTTGTTTACAAATTTTAATTACATTTATGTTAAGTTTTCTTTGTAAGAATTCCTGACAACTGTATGCAGATGATAGCTAAGAAATCAGATCCAGGGGTAAACTATACAAAGTAGCCATAGGTAATTAGCTAATTATCTTTTATAATTAGGTAATTACAAAAGCAAAATGTTAAATATGCTTTCAATTTTTTTATTTTGGTGTGGAGCCATCTATGTTTACTAGGGGAGTGTCCATGCATTTTTTAAGTGTTTGATATCATGTGAGATGGACCCTATAGAAATAAGAGTGTGTAGAACATAGGTCTCCAGAGTAATGATGTTACCCCTTGGCGAAGGGGGTAGAACACTTACAGGATTCAGTTCAGGATATCCTAATATTGTGTCTTAATTTAATTGGAATTTCTGTAAACATGTTCTTTCGAAATGTAGGAAAAGGTCAGGTGATGGTAACAGGATTACATGTGCAGCTCCCCACCCACATTTCTGATGGCATGGCAGAAGGAATCTAAAATTATGGAAAATGTTTCACTGGCACTGGAAACAAGTTTAAGGAGGGTATTCACACGTCAGAAATAACTGTGTTTTTGGCCAGGCACAGTGGCTCATGCCTGTAATTCTCAGCACTTAGGGAGGCCTAGGTGGGCAGATCACCTGACGTCAGGATTCAAGACCAGCCTGGCCAACATGGCAAAATCCCGTCTCTGCTAAAAATACAAAATACAGGCGTACGCCTGTAATCCTAGCTACCTGGGAGGCTGAGGTAGGGGAATCGCTTGAACCTGGGATATGGAGGTTGCAGTGAGCTGAGATCTTGCCCTGCACTCCAGCTTGGGTAACAGAGCAAGACTCCATGTCAAAAAAAAAAAAGAGAAATAACTGTTTCTGCTAGGTGTTAAACACATACGGATTGAATCAAAAGAAGAGCTAACCTGCATCTTATCCCTTATCTAAAAGAGCAGGTTTAGGGAGAGTAGATGGGAAAGATTTTAACAGAATCTCACAAACAGCTGTAAATTTGTGGTCCTTGTGCCAGGAGGCCCTAGGTACTGAATTTTAGCAGCAAATGCTACCATAGTTTATGCTTACAGAGCCAGGAGGCCATAGGTACGGAATTTTACCAGCAAATGCCACCCTAGTTTATACGTATAGAGGCCATTTCCAGCTGAGATTTTCTTCTTCTTCTTTTTTTGAGATGGAGTCTTGCTCTGTCACCAGGCTGGAGTGCAGTGGCACGATCTCGACTCACTGCAACCTCTGCCTCCCCGGTTCAAGCGATTCTCCTGCCTCAGCCTTCTGAGTAGCTGGGACTACAGGCGCGCAACACCACGCCCAGCTAATTTTTGTATTTTTCATAGAGACGGGGTTTCACCATGTTGGCCAGGATGGTCTCGATATTTTGACCTCCTGATGCGCCCTCTTCAGCCTCCCAAAGTGCTGGGATTACAGTTGTGATTACAGGCCACGCCCAGCCCCAGCTGAGATTTTCTAGGAGTACCACTTATCCCACCGTCTGCATAGTGGCAGCAGAGAGTGCTATGTTGTACAAAGAAAAGGGACTGTCATAAAGATCTCTTACTAGCAGAGTCAGGCTCTAGCATATTGTACATGGAAGAGAAAACTGTGAAACGTAAATTCAAAACCCCCTTCCTTTGTTTTTTTTTCTAATCCCCCCAGTTTACCAAATCCTTAATTTGGAAGAGTAAAACCACAATAAATTTAAACTCTCACTATCCCCGTTTACCTGGGCCTAATGGACATCCCAGTTGATTAGAAAATAAATACTTTTCTTTCGTTATTATCTGCCTTTAATTCAAATTTAGCCTATTCGTATTTGTCAGACTGATGCTAAGAGAACTAGAAGCCCCTCTTTCCCAGTACATAGATACAAATGTGCAATGTTTGTCTTCCTGTGCAGCACACAGAAAATTACTGGTAAAAATAGAATACAGTTTTTTTCTTTTTGAGACAGGGTATGGCTCTGTCACTCAGGCTGGAGTGCAGTGGAACCATCTCAGCTCACTGCGGCCGTGACCTCCCAGGCTCAAGGAATCCTCCCACCTCAGCCTCAGCCTCCCAAGTACCTGGGCACATACCACTATACCCAGCTAATTTTTGTATTTTTTGTAGAGACAGGGTTTTGCCATGTTGCCCAGGCTAGTCTTCAAACTCCTGGACTTAAGCAGTCTCTCGGACCTTGGCCTCCCAAGTGCTGGGATTACAGACATTAGCCACGGGCACATTTTTTCTATAGTATGTATTTTACTTGAATCTTTTGGTGAACTCACTATAAAAAGTTAAACATTAATAAATGAGGGCCCAGCGCAGTGGCTCACGCCTGTAATTCCAGCACTTTGGGAGGCCAAGGTGGGCGGATCACGAGGTCAAGAGATCGAATCCATCCTGGCCAACATGGTGAAAGCCCGTCTCTACTAAAAGTACAAAACTTAGCTGGGCATGGTAGCATATGTGGTGGCAGGCGCCTGTAGTCCCAGCTACTTGGGAGGCTGAGGCAGGAGAATCACTTGAACCCAGGAGGTGGAGGTGCAGTGAGCCAAGATTGCGCCACTGCACTCCAGCCTAACAACAGAGCGAGACTGCGTCTCAAAAAAAAATTTTTTTAATTAATAAATGAGATAGATAACTAGAGCTAATCTTTAATCCAGTATGATAATACCATTGTAACATCTTTAATACCAATGTAAGATCTTTCCTAAGTTGGAAAGTTTGGGTGCCTTTATTTTAAAAAAATCAGCACAGATAATTGAATTATGCCTTCTTCTTAGGTTTCCTCTTACTCGACCCAGTCTTTGTAAAGAATGGGAGGCAGCTGTCAGAAGAAAAAACTTTAAACCCACCAAGTATAGCAGTATTTGTTCAGAGCACTTTACTCCAGACTGCTTTAAGAGAGAGTGCAACAACAAGTTACTGAAAGAGAATGCTGTGCCCACAATATTTCTTTGTACTGAGCCACATGACAAGGTAATATGCGTTTTAAAATATTGGGTTGCTTTCTGTTTATCAAACTGATATGTTCATTGATTAAAATGTGGAAAATTCAGTTAAAGAGAATAAATGTGCCTGGAACTTTGTGTAGTTAACAGTGATACACTTCTGAAAACATAAAATGCAGTTTATTTAAGATAAATATCCTCACACTAAGAAACTTAGTCCAGCCCTTGTAACTTACTTAAAAATCACTCTGTACTGCCAGTTATATATTGATAAGTTTTGGGTTTTCTTTATCAGTGACAGTTTAGTTTCAAAGCATTTTTTTCTCCTCAGTGCTTAGTATTTAATTGGATCTGATTATTCATTTTGTCTCTTTCTTGCACCGTCCCTTTATTGCAGGTAGAAAAGTTTATTCAAACTGAAACTGTTTTCTCATTTTGGAATGTTTCTGTACCACTGATTCACCAAAAAAGTCTAATATTTCTTAAATTCCACAGAATATTTATTTATTTATTTATTTATTTTTGGGAGACAGAGTCTCTCTGTCACCCAGGCTGGAGTGCAGTGACATGATCTTGGCTCACTGCAACCTCCGCCTCCTGGTTCCAAACAATTCTCTTGCCTCAGCCTCCCGAGTAGCTGGGATTATAGGCATACACCACCACACCGGGCTAATTTTTGTATTTTTAGTAGAGACGGGGTTTCGCCATGTTTGGCCAGGCTGGTCTCAAACTCCTGACCTCAGGTGATCCGCCCACCTCTTCCTCCCAAAGTGCTAGGATTACAGGCATGAGCCACTACCCCTGGTCAGTCCACAAATTGTTTTAAACTGTTATTTTTAGTTACTAAATTCAAACATATTTTGTATTTTTGTTTTAGAAAGAAGATCTGGAGCCACAGGAACAGCTTCCTCCACCTCCTTTACCGCCTCCTGTTTCCCA